AAATACTATGTGATTACCTACTCATCCGTAAAGCTGGCCATCATGGATTAAATCTGGCTGATTCAGACCATCTACGGCCATTCACATTCATAAGAAGGCAATCGAATTATTGACTTCTCACGAATGAGCTTGTCGGAAAATGTTTGTTCAATCAGTGCTGTAGCACTAATCAGTGTATTCTGCCAGCAGAGGGGTCCCTGTGGTCAGCATGCAAACACACAGCAGAGGGGGATCTTCCATCAACCTCGCTTGTGTGGATGGGGGAATCTGTTCAGTTTTTTTTTTTTAGCAGCTCGCTTGCTGATTGAAAAAACAGATCCTTGTATGGCCAGATTTACTATTCATTGCTTGGTGTCATGCTTGGTAAAAAAAAAATACCAATGTGTAAAATTTCTGGTCTTAAATCATACCTGTAGCTAAAGCTTTTTTTAGTTTTTTTTTTTTTATAAAGATGAAGGGTTTTTCCTGCTGTTTGTATCCCTGCTGGGGAGAGTCACCCTCTATCTGTTCTGACGACCATTGTCACAGGGACAGAAAGTGATGAGAATTTCATTCATGTGACCACTGTCACTGGAACAGGTGACCATAAAACTCCAATAAAGACCTGTTCAGGTAAAAACTTACAACTGTCTGAAATTTCCCCTCAATTTGGAGAGAATTTCACTCACTCTGCTATGGGTCTGGGAGAAAAAGTAAAATAGATCTAATTATTATTATTGTCTGGTCCATCTGTTACTACAAACACATTCTGGCTAGAGAATCACTTTAACTGCCTGTGTGCATGCCTGTAATACCCTTTCATAACCAGGGCATTTTTGTCTTTCATTGCTATGATACTTTGACAATTACTTAGCCATACTACAATGTGCTCAAACTAAATTTATATCATTATTGAGACAAATAGAGCCTTCTTTTCATGGCAAATAATAAACACATTTTTACTATATAAAAGTAATTTATGGAAAAAAACTGGTTCCCTTAATTTCTCCTAAAATATAGCCCACTTTTTGGAAAGCAGACACCCCAAGGTGATCTCATTACTTACTATGTTTTTGGAAATGAAGAAACATGCAGGTATTCAGGGGGTTACAACACTGAGCTGGGTAACAGTGCACCAAATAAAGTGCATGCAAATCATAAACAGAAGGAACAGATGGTGAAAGGGTTAAAGTATAGGTCACATACCCTAACTTGTCTTGGGAAAGGTAAAGCCTTTTAAAATGACAGCCTTACTCCCAATTCTAAACTTAACTCAAACACTGCCTATATATGTGATTCAGTAGTATTTTGCCTATACTGTATATGCTCTCTGATATCACAATTTCTCTGGAAAAAAAACCTGACCAGACATGTACAGATATGTCCCTATCTTACCCTCCCTGACATACTGCTACAACCCCTGGCAAAAAGTATGGAATCACCACTCTTGGAAAATGTTCATTCAATTGTTTGTGTAGAAAACAAACTACAGACATGCATCAAAACTATTTTTATTTTAACATTCCATACTTCTGCCTTTAAGAAACACTTAAAAACTTAAAAAAGAAAGAAAACTGTAGTCAGTTGCAACTGTTTTTGCAGAACAAGCAGAGGAAAGAAATATGGAATCACTCAATTCTGAGGAAAATATTATGGAATCATGAAAAAACACTACAGTACACTACTTGTTCTTTGCTGTTACACCTCTGGCTTTTATAACAGCTTGAATTATCTGAGACATGGATTTAACTATTGACTCATAGTATTCTTCATCAATCCGACTCCAACTTTCTCCTATTGCAGTTGCCAGATCAGCTTTGCAGGTTGGAGCCCTGTCATGGACCATTTTCATTTTCACCATAGATTTTCAATTGTATTGAGGTCCGGACTATTTACATTAAATACATGTGCCTGTACTATGGGGGCTCTTAAAATTGTAGAGTTAGGAACTACAGAATACTGGGGCACCATGACGAGGCTCTGTAGCTTACACATGTACTTGCAAATGTGTGCTAACTAAACCCTTCTTTTTATCGCATACTGTTAGACAGGTTAATATGGTTTGTTTGCAGGCTGGCTGGCAAGTTAGTGCTGGGAATTTTTTTTTTTGTTGTTTGACATCACCCTTCCATGTGCTCCTTGCTGTGAAGGCCAGCTATAGATTGGGGCAGTGGCTATTTCATGTACCATGCCATTGACATTCTATGTCTTTCTTGAAGGAAATGTTTCACGGCTTTTGCGCTATGGCAAGATGCATTATCATCCTGACAAATTATATCATCTTCACCAAACATCCTTTCAATTGATGGAATAAGATAAGTGTCCAAAATTTCAATATAAACTTGCATATTTATTGTAGATTTAATGACTGACATCTCCCCCGTACCTTTATCTGACATGCAAGTATCTCCTAGATTGTAAGCCCATGATTCATGTCTTCAATGATTGTGTCAAAATGTGCATATTTTCTTAAAGCAGTTGTCTTTATACATTTCATTGGAACAGCACCAAACAAAAGTTCCAGCATCATCACCCTGCCCAATGCAGATTTGTGATTCATCACTGATTATCACTTTCATCTAGCCATCCACAGTCCATGATTGCTTTACTTTAGTCCGTTGTAACCTTGTTTTTTTTTCTGTTGTTAATGATGGGGTTTTTTTTTTTTTTTGCATTTCTGTATGTAAATCTCATTTCTTACGATGTCTTTTAGTTCAGTCACAAACTCCACTTTCTGCCCATTTGTTCCTCATTTGTTTTGTTGTGCATTTTCCTTTTTCAAGGCATATTGCTTTAAGTTTTCTATTTTGACGATTTGATGTCTTCCTTGGTCTACCAGTACACTTCCCTTTTACAATCTTCCCATCTGATTTGTACTTGGTCCAGACTTTAGACACAGCTGACTGGGAACAAGCAACATCTTTTGCAACATTCTGTGATGATTTACCTTCTTGAAGAAGTTTTATAATCCTCTCCTTTGTTTCAACTGACATCTCTGGTGTTGGATCCATGATTCATGTCAATCAGCTTGGTGCAACAGCTCACCAAGGTGTGCAAGCACTCTTTTTAACTGCAGACTAATTAGCAGGTGTAATCTGATGCAGATGTTTGTTTTAGAACTGCAAAGTACACAGTGATTCCATAATATTTTCCTCAAAATTGAGTGATTCCATATTTTTTTCCTCTGATTAATCTGCAAAAACAGTTGCAATTGTCTACAGTTTCCTTTCTTTTTTATTTTTTTAGGTGTTTCTTAAAGCCAGAAAGTTGGAATGTTAAAGGAAAATAGTTTTGAGGCATGTCTATGATTGCTTTTTTTCTACACTATTAAACAACTTGAATTAACATTTTCCAAGAGTGGTGATTCCATACTTTTTGCCAGGGGTTGTATATTACAAAGCACTCCATCTTTCCTTGGTAGTGACTTGGTGTACGCTTCCAACAAACAAACTTTGTCCCTAATTAAATATTTCCTCTCCCCTAGCTGCCAGTCAGGCACTACAGAACTCTAAAATTGCACCCAACCAGTCAGTATTAAATCAATCCATCAGACTTTCCACCTTCAGTTGATTTCTCCTCATCCCTCTTCCCTGATCCCAGTACCAGGAAACACAGGTTTTTAACTGGCACAGAGAACAAACATCTCTAATGTCTCCTAGCAGTGAGTAAATCTTGCTATCTACATTTTATAGTGCTGGCTAGTTGACTGTCCCCCAAAGCAATCCAAAATCTGCTTTTGCCTCCTCTGGATATCTGGAGACTTACCAGGGCAGACATTTCCTACAGTCTACACCAGAGAAAAATCTCCTTACTAGACCTCTACCTCAATTTGAGGTAATTTATCAAGATGCAACTTATAAGCCTCACTTACTATCACTTTTATATACAGTAGTTTCTAAATTCAACACCCAAAAGCTACAGTACATTTCTTCCTACATTCATAAACAGGCATCAAAACTTTATGTGATTCTCACAAATGCACAAATCAGCAAACCCATTACCCTAGCAAACAAGTCTTCTTTGCCAATCATTTTCAGGAACAAGGGTACAAACTACTCTCAGACTGGTATTAGGCTCTGATGCTTCTAAATACAATATACCCGCAGGTCCTGAATGTTTGCTGGAGATGCTAAGCCGAACCAGGGACCCTACTACGTATCTTTTGGAAATGTCCCCTACTAAGCCCTTTCTGCGAAGTTCGGAAACTAAACCTTCGGCTGATATCAGTAAATTTAGGGTTAGATCCCATTGGTTATTTATTACAAGGCAACAAAATTCCAATAAGACCTCACTGACTATGTACCTGCTAAATGCAGCTCGTGCATGCATTCCTGATTGGTGGAAACAAACTACACTTCTCGCTGTATGTATGTGGTTTGCTAAAATCAACTAAATCACAATAATGTAATAACTGATAGCTGCTCCTCGTAATAGAGAAGAGCAGCACCATAACCTCTGTTTTCTGTGGATAAACTTTATCTGATCTACATCATATAAACCTATATTAACTCCTTCCTGTCAATACAATATAAAATGGGCAACATCTCTACACCCACCTGAGATGGGGTTACTCATTTTTAGAACTCTAAAAGACTGGGACATGATGGTGCTTCTTACACTCCCCCCTCTCCCTCCCTCCTTTTTTTTTCCATTTCTTTTTTGCTCTTCATCCTCCTCACAAAGTTGTTTTACTAAACTAAGTAATAGAGAATATTCATTTAGCCAACTACATGTTTACCCAGCAAAAGAGAAGGTTCTCATAGTTAATACAGTGAAGCTGTGTTTATGTTAAATCATCTAATCAAATGAAGGGAAAAAAACTTTTTTTTATTTCTTTTACACATAATTACGCATTAAATCTTGCACTTTATTCAATAGGCTAAGTGAATATTCTAAGTAAATATTTTCCACTCCTTTGTAAATTAACCACAGTATGTTGTGTTTATAATAATAATAATCCTCTCTGCTTCATTTACTGACTGATTGCCCATGTGAAAGGTAGATGCCAAACTTTAGCCTACCTGTTGTGGTTCTTGTGCATGTTGAGGTCTCAGGGTGATATTCACAGCGGCATGCCAAAACTGTCTGGTTTCCTCATCGTGGCCATAGACTAGGAACTCGCTTTGATCTGGTGAAATGTCAAAAGTTCTTGCAGCAAATATTACCCCGTCATCATCGATCCGAAAATCTGTAGGGTTACTGGTCTCATAATGTATCTGTCTTTGTTCACCGCAATCTGTAAACCTCACTAGAGAAACAAAGAACAAAAAAAAAGTCAGCACTGAAGGCACTCAGAGAAACTAGAAAAACAATAACCTAATCAATGGTGGAGCAAAGGTAAAATACTCTGCTGGAATACAGAAGATACAATCTGTTCAAAGCAAACAAAAATAATAATAGCTTAAAGATGACATGTTTGTCAAATCATTGCCTTGGAAAATACAATTAGAACAAGTGGATTTAAAGATTGTCAACTAAGTGTGTAAACCATTGTACATTGGGAACCCTGGGCCACATGTACGCTGCTGTGCTGAAAGTTTGAAACTTTGACACTTTGCTCTTTGACTAAGTAGAGTCTGCCAATACTGTATCACCAATTGTATTTAAATGCATACCACAGGCAGTGAGAGATAAACATTTAGTTATTCTTAAATATAAGATTCTTTACAGACAAATGTAACAACACAGAACATTTAAATTAGCTAGCTGTCAAAGAGCATTCAATATACTGTTTATCTTAATAATTTGAATAGTGATGTCACAATCTGCTCCGTCATAATTACCTGACTGTGGAGATCACGAATGGAAGTCTAGAACCATTGGTGGCAACCCTAACTGGCTTGGCATAAAACTGAATTCAGATCAGGCACCAATTAGATTATGTCCAGTGGCATAACTATAGCTATAACTGCTGGGGCCTGGGAGTGGGCCCCAATGCAGGAATTGTTAAGACATATTAAACATAAAATATTGTATTATTAAGGGATTCATAGGTTGAAGTAGGTGAATGCCTTGTGAAGTTATCATTCTACAAGAGCTGACATCAGATGCACAGGAGGAGTCTGAGATCATGGTGTCCTTAATCAGAACTTTCACTTGCTTTCCCTCCTACTCATCAATGAATACAATAATTGTCTTCAGAGCTTCATTTCATCCCTGCCAGCACTTTGAAATGAACTCTGTTGTATGCCCAACACTGTCTTCCTAATGCTGTTTAAATAACAGATTCTCCTTAATAAAAATTGATATGACAGCTGAAGCTTGTAAATCTGCAAAAACCCATTTAGTAGCAAACTTTAATCAGTTTGTATTAAGGTAATAGAGCAGTTTGTTTACAGGAGCACTAACAATTATATAACAATATAAAATACATTAAGTTATTAATATTATTGTTTTCACTTCAACATTTTTACACCATTGGCCCAATGGACACTGCTAGGTGCCACAGAGAGAGATTATTAGAGGGCCCCAACAAAATGTTGTTAAAGGTTAAGTTCACCTTTTAAAAAAAATAAATGCACATTTTTTGTAGGTAAAAAAAATGTGCATTTACTATTTTTTTTTAGGAACCTGGAAAGCATTACACTAGCAATGTCCCATGCAGGACTCCTGCAGACTGTCAGTTTAGGCTATCTGTCAGTACACCGTACGGACAGGCAGTTTCATGCTGACCGGAACAATCAATGAACTACCAGACCGCTCAACAGATCCGAGTTAGTTCATTATGAACTACAGGCCAATCTTTGCTAAGGATGTTAGCACTTGTAGTTGATTTATTCACATAACCCTGGGAATTAAAAAAATGGCTGTGTGGACGGAGCCCCTCACGGCCATGCTCTTTTCAAAAAGTGACAGCTGGTACTGCTGTCACACAGAGGGCTTGGATAGCTGAGCCGCTGCAGGACAGGAAACAGGTTACATGTTCCCCCCTACAAACAGGTGGAATACGTAACATGATCCCGAAGGTGAACGTATCCTTTAAGTGCCCCATGATCTGTAATTATGCACCTGGTTGCAGCATATGGTGATAGACTACTTCATGCAACTCTTTCAGTAATAAATAGGTTCCTCTGTTGCACAATGACATTTGTTTTATGGAACATGACATGTCAGCATGCCATGGACTATCATACAAAGATCTAGCCTTGATTTGAGTAGAGTAGCTTGGTCATTTCTAGCACGAGGCCATTACTTTAGGTTACTTCTAATGATATGCCATATATGCAGGGATTGCTTTGGCAATACCTTTAGCTACGTGATAAAGGTACATGAAGCTATTACAATACATAGCAATACAAAATGTTATTAGTTGGCTGTGCACATACTGAAAATTTATTTAACCTAAACTGTTCCTTATAAAATATTCAAAACGTTTTCCAATTGTTGTTTCAAATATATCATTCCCTGGAAGGTAAAATACACTCTGATGAGCATTTAAGAGATTCTAAAACTTTAATATATAAATGTGTCCTTTAGAAATGCTGAAGTTTGCAGTATTAAAGAATTTAAGCTGATCTCTCATAGGAAATAGACATTTTAATGGAATTAGGAACAGTTGTGGAGAGAGCAAAAGTATTATCAACACACAAAATGACTTCAATATAAACAACTCTGGCTTGTTTATGAGCAAAGGGACACTTACCCGAATGGCCTCCTTCAAAATATTACCACTACTTATCATTTAGTATATAATGTGTAAGCTATTGAGTATTTCGGGCAATCCCTTGCAGAGAATAATTGAGAAAAGAACCATTTCAGAGAAACAAGAGTTCCACTCATATATGGAGCCTTAGTGACTGTCTTTATTTAATCCGGGAGAGGAAAAAAAATCTGTATCCAGTACAATGTACGATACATCCTCATAAGGAAACATTAAAATAGAAGAGACAGTTTAAAGTGTCACACTGCAGTTAGTGACTTCCATTCCATTAACAATGTGACCTTACATCACGACCCCATTTGTCAAGGGCATGTTTTGAAATTCAGCAGCTGGGTAAGGAAACATATGGAATACCATGAATTAACCTTTAATGCCTAAAGCCAGAAGGGATATGCAAGTCTCTTTCAAATGTTACATGCTGCACAAGATGAAATACTGAAACAGATAAACTTCCTGGCCCATAGTCATTAAAAACAGATCCTGAAATCCCTTGCTGCAAGGGAAATGTTTCAAAATATTTTATAAGTGTTTGCTGACTATTATGAGTTCAGATCATGCATCTTTATCAGTACAAACCCACTAGTTTATATATTCAAGCATTAGTGAAATACTGAAACAATCATCTTTTTTCTATTGGTTACAAGCAAAGCCGAGCTTCAGGCCAGAAATGAACAGCTTGGGGCACAAAAAAAATACAATACGTAATACAAAAGATTATTTCTACAGTGGATGTTTAATGTAATATATTACTATACAACTGATACCGGAAATTTGGAAAGTCACATTTGTAAATGGAACCTTTTTCAAGGGCTGCAGCTGTGCATACCGAATGTTCTCTTAGTACTGGCCATACACATAAGAATAAGATGGCCTGGCATTTTTATATGTTATTATACAGAACCTAAAGCTTCCAAGCTGCACATTTATTAGACAACAGTCACTTGCTAGGCCTGAACAGACTAGACAGTGTAACCGAATATGAGGTCTAATTGTTATTGCTAGCTGTAATAAGGAAGGCCTTAGAGATAGGAGCTGAGAGGTGGTTTAATGCAAAGGGAAACAACTTTTGTGGTAAAAAAAAAATTAGCAGAAAAAAAAGTGTATACAATTGTGACACAATTCATATTGTAATTAAATATTCTTAAAAATTACTTTTCCTTCAACCTGCAGCGCTGTAAAATGCCATGCAATATGGCATTTCCTGCTTGTGTGATTGGCGCACTAATTTTCCCAGAAGTCTGCACTAACATACAAGTCAGATTTTTTTTTGGCATCCCGGTAACAAAAATGTCATTTTTGGTGAGCTACTCCTAAGGGGAAATCAAATCTAAAGGGATGCAGACCCTGCAATTTTCCTCATTAGAGCCCTGCAGGTGCAGCAGCAGACTGATAATTATTAAACCACTCCCATCAGATTCACTCTGCACATGGACATAGACAAACAGCTATTCCTTCAGAATAACAAAAGGTGGGAATCTGTTACAAAGTTTGTAAAAAAGCATTGCAAAAGTGGAGTTATTCGTTAAAGCAATATTAAACCCCAAACCAAAAACATAGCATATTGCAGCTAACCCACCATTAGATGTGGCTGCATCTGGCCATTAACACACCTCCTGTATTAGTTTAGTACAACTGTGGAGGAATTAGTACAGGGGCACAGCAGACAGCAGCATAACCAGTCCGGGGGAAGGGGGGTGTTAAATGTACTGGCATATTTAAAAACAATAACAAATTGAAGCCAAACTCCAGTTCACACTTTATAATCAGTTGTGACAACTGTTTTTTTTTCCTTTTAGGATAAAGGTCTTACAAAAATAAATAAATAAAAGCTGGTCGTTTTAATCACCCCTGCTAGTGTTAAATGGTCTGTCTTGTAAACTGATACCTTCTGCTAGAGAACCTGAGCCTCTGAAAAACAACAGACTTGTTGGCTGGAACACCAGATGAAAATAGAAGGAACAAAGCCTAAAAAAGGAAATTAATACAACCATCATATACACACTAAGAATTGGTAAGCTGCAATATAATAAATATTTGCTTTTGATATTAATAATGCTTTTAATGTCTGGAAATACAAGCTTCTATTGAGGTAAAGAAACCATGCGACCAAACTGATTCATAACCCAGCTCTGTTACAAAATGTGTGGGGGTCCACAGCACTGAGTACAAATCAACTAGAGCAGCAGTTCTAAAAGTGTTACTAAATTCACACCTGTAAAATCAGTCTGTATATGTATAAAGTATAAAATGATTAAAAAAATTCAGCGCTCAGTGATAATGATTAGCAGCTAGCAAGAAGTGTTCATACACAAAAAAACACCAAAATAATACAAAATACAATTGTTTGCAGTGCTTAAAAAATAAAAAGCAAATAAAAACAACAACACTCGTGACAAATGTGTTAATCAAAAAAAAATGAACAGTCCAGCAATATCAAATATTTATGGATGGTCTTCTCCTCTGTGACTTTTCTTCATACAGTAACTTAAATAGTGTTTGACCTCTACCTTGAATTAAATGCACACTCACCAGACCCAATTGCTGTCTAAATGAATAGAACAGCAAATAGTGCTTTGTTAAACAATTAAT